CAGCCGGCTGCGGCCCTGACCCCGGCCTGCGCCCCACCCGCGTCCCGGCCCCGGCCGTCGGCCTCAGCTCTGCATTCGCGGGCCCCGGCGCCTCCCGCTCCAGCTCCCTTCGGCCCCCTCTGCAACGGGAACTCCGCCGCCCCAAACTTGGGGAAAAGTTTCCCAACTTCAGACAGGCCGGGAGAAGCGCGCCAGCCCCAGGCACTCGACTCCCAGCTTTTCCTCTCGGCCCCCAATTTTCGGCAGCCAGGCGGCCCTGGAGCCTGAGCCGAGCCCTGAGGTCCCCTGCCGGCTCGTCCGCCCGCCCACCCTGTTCCCGGCCTGGCCCGCAGGGCCTCGCGGCCCGTTACCTGCGGCCGCAACGCGACCCGGCTTCCCTCCCCGTGGCGGTGGCAGCTCCTAGCCGGCGCCCCACCCGCCCCGCTGCCAGGCGCCGAGCTGTGCCAGGGCAGCGCCCCTGCCAGCCCCGCCCGCCAGCTCCCCTTCCCTTCCCTTCGCCTCTCCGGCCCATGTGCGGGCAGAGCCGGCCCCGGGCCGCTGACCCCGCCGTGAACCCAGCGCTGAGCAGCGGCCCGGCGGTCCTGAGTCCTCTAGGGGACGACACCCGGAGTCCTGAACGCCAGCCGCGTTGGGGCGCCCGCGCCGGAGGATGCGCCCGAGGCGGCCAGCGCGTAAGGACCGGGCTGTCCGGGTCCCCTGTCCCTCCCGGTCCCGAGCCTCAGGACCCACCTGGGGGGCATGTCGGAAGCCCCGGGCCCGGCTGCCGGCGGATCCAGGGGGGGACGTGGCTGCGCTGCGCTGCCCTCCGCCCGCCGGGCCCCCGGTCGGTCTGTCCTGCTGGTCCGTCCTCCCCGCGTCCTGGTCGCGTCTCAGCCCCGCCGCGCTTTCCGCACACTCTTATCTGGAGCGGCCCGGGCCGGCACGCGCTGCTGCAGCTATGGCGCCACCTCGCGGCCGTGCAGGGCTTTGCGCGGCACCGCCGCGACCTCCCTCGCGCGCACCTGGGTTGGGCTGGAGGCTCACAGATGCGGAGCTGGACCCGGGAGAGGGGTCTGTTCACAGGGCCACCCTCCCAGATGTGCCCACGTAAGGACCCAGGCCCCGAAACTTCGAGCCCCACAAACTCTGGGGTTTTGAGCTCAACGTTCCCATGTACATATTTCTAGATTCTCACATTGCCTCAGTTTGGAGAAGTCCTGCCCGCAAGGGGGGGGGGGACCCTGGGGACAAGTAGATGGGGGGAGGAAGGTTACGGAAGTCGTGAGAGAGAAGAAGGTAGACAAGATCTTGGGGGGCGACTCCTTAGACATCCCTGGATGGGACTGTCCGTTTGTACCCACCCCACCCCCAACACACCTACCTTCACTCAGCCACATGGGTTTACGTATGCACGGAATAAACCCATTTGCACCCAGACCCTCTCCAGGCACTGACACCTGCGGGCGCGCATGTTGGCGCAAACACACATCTAACCCCTTCTAAAAGTTCGAGTCCTGGCTCTCTGGGATACTCCGGAGGCTGTCACGTAGGGCCCTCCATGAGCCTGAGCAGGGCCGTTACCCAATCAGCCTGCCCTGAACTTAGAGGTCTCTGGAGGGACCCCAGGGCATTCGACTGGGGATGGCTGGACAGCGCCTCCTGGGGATCCCGCAGAAGGAACCCCAGCCCCCAGATTCCCCGTGTGAGCCATTTTGAGGGACCTGCTTGCTCGACCTCGTCTCCAACACACCAACCCGGAACGTGGCCGCAGGGACTGCAGCCCGGGATCCCCCGGCAAGGTTCTGCATCCCACGTGAAGGCCCGGTTCTTGCCGGTGACGCCCCTTCTGGGAGGGAGGGGACCCCGCACTGGCGCGGGCACTCCGGAAGTGGCCCTGCGCGGCCCCGCAGCTGCATCGGGCCTGTAGTGAGTGCCGGGTCTCCGCGGCCCACGCTGTGCCTCCTCCCCGCACCTCCTGACCCCTGCCCACACGTCGGGGGGTGGGAGTGGGTCCTCGAGAACGCCTGCAGCTTCTGATTGGCTGCGCCTTCCTCAGCCGTCGCGCGCGAGAGGCTGGGGCGCAGAGTTACCATAGTAACCGATGAGGTTCGCGCAGATCGCGTCTCTCTAAGGCCTTGGAGAGCTTAGCAACCGCGCAGGGCTGCTGGGCGGGTGGGGGCCGCGCTCGCCGCCCCTCGCGCGGTCCTCCACCCCTACGCCCCCGCCAGAGGTAGTAGCTGAGTCACTCATTGAGGGGCCGCCAGCGCGGCCACGCGCGGTCCCTGACAGACACTAAGGTCTCGGGCGCCCCCCAGAGGCTCTCTTTCCTCCGCAGACATCTTCATGGCCTCGGGGCCATCCGTTGGCTCTTGGTCCCCACCGGTCCTTCTGACTCCCACCGCGTCCTGACCCTGTCCTCACCCTGTTTCTACTCCGTGTTCTGGATCCATTTTATCCCAGTCCTCTCCTCCGTCTACCCACGGTCTCCTCACTAGGGTCGCGGTGAGCTTCCAAGAACGAAAACGGTGGGTTCCGGGGCTGCCAGCCTCTAGGGGAGATGGACCACGACATCTTGGCCGAGGGGTGGATGTGTTGTGCGCTGAAGCGGAAAAAGGTGTATGGAGTGCTGGAGAAAGGCGGGAAGGCTCCTCGGAAGAAGAGCTCTTAGAACTGGGCTTTGATGGATGAATAAGAGTTCTTCCCCCACACAGAAAAGCAGTCCTGGAGAAGAGAACCACAGGGACAAAGGCTGGAGGCAAAAGAAAAAGAGGTGGTGGGCGGGGGGAGGGGGAAGACTCCAGGAGGCTAGATTCCAAAGGTTGTGCAGGACCTCTCCGACTGCGTTTCTGCTGGAATCTTTTATCCTCTTGATGGGACCAGATCCTAGCCCCACAAGGAACCCCTCAACCCAGTTTCACTTTTGTGCAGTGTCCACTGTGCCCACTTTGTTTTTCGTCAACACTCTCCCCAAATCCCTACTCCCTGAATTAACTCACTGCTCCCATCCCTCCCCTCAGGTTGTCCTTACGTCCCTATGGAAGGGTCTCAAAGACCTGCAGCCAGCCTTGCTGCCTTCCTGTGGACTTCACTCCTCTTCAATCTTTGATCTTTCCCTCCCTCCCTAGTTTCTACCTACCCTACCTGCCTGGCACTGCTCCCCACCCCCACCCCACCCCCACACAATCCATCTCCTCTCTCTGAACACATTCACCCTCCTCCATTTAGAACTTTCCTCAATTGATGGAGCCAGGATCTTTCATTTCCCTGCTCTTGTTCAGGACACTTCTGCCCCACATGGCTTAGGGCCTTCCTGTCAATATCATACCTCCAGGAACTCTAACTCCTCCAGGAAGTGGTTTTGCCACTCCGCCCTCTGGAGATCCCTCTCTGCTAAGCTGCTGAGCCCTTGGTCTCCCTCACTCATTGTCACTCTCTCATGAGCTCTGCCAATGCCCACAAATGGGTCCTGGACGCGGTCTGCTGGGTGCAAGGCTCTGAAACTGGCACTGCCCACCCGTCCTCCTCCCCTCCATTTGCTGAGGCTTCCTCTTCTACTCACCCCCTTCTCCTACCGTCTTTCCCCCAACTCCCCCATAGAGGAACCCCTTGCTCATGTCCGGGGAGTGCAAGCCACCCTTCTCAAGTTTTCCGCGGTCTCCAGCTCCTGACTGGTACCTAGACCCCCCCATTCCTTCTAGGCCCAGACTCCTACAAAGCTTCTGCGAGCCCTGGGCTCCCCCACTCTTCTTCCCCCATGTCCTCGACGCCACAGCTCTAGATACTGCTTTAGGCCCCCTCCTCAGGTCCAGCTTCCTCTCCTGTACCTCCCACCCCAGAGTGACGACACTGCAGCGGCCATGCGGGGTGTAACGCCACCGAGGGTCATCTTGTGACGTCACAGAGCCGTCGGGTCCCGGAATTGAGGAGTGGGAGAGGGGGCTCCCGGGTGAGCACCTCAGAAGGCCAGGTGGGAAGTGGGATTCCCCCCCCCCAGGTGTCCCAGAGTGCATAAAGGTGTAACGGACCCGTCGGCCCTCCCGGCTCTGTCCTCCCGCCGGCCCCCAGCCCGCAGTTCCGGAAAGTTAACCCTTTGTAGACCCGTACAGGGGCCCCGGGCTCCCCCTCCCTGTTCCTGCTTCCGTGCGCCCTCCTCCCCCTCCCAGCTCCCCGTCGCCTTGGTCCCCCCCAACCCCCCGCCTCGCCACTATAAATAGCCCCTCTTCCCGTTTCCTAAATTCCCTGCTGACGTCGGCAGCGCGTCAGTGTGTAGGAGCCGCGGCCGCATGAATGAGCCGCCGCACGAGTACTACGCGCGCCTATAAAAGCAGCCGCGCCAGCCGGGCTGCGGGAGGCGAGCGGGAGCCGGCGCGGCGCGGCCCGACAGGTAAGTGGGACTGACCGACCGACGGGCTACAGATGGACCGATGCACGGACACGGACGGAAGGGCAATGAGGAGACCGGCAGACGGCAGGTTGGAGGGCCCCTAAGGGGTGGGATTGGGGACAGGGTGGGGGACGAGGATCCCCTCGCAGCTGGTGGAGCCGGGCCGGAGGCGTACCCAGAACCCCGTGCAGCACCTGCCCGCGCCCGGATGAAGACGCAGCCACTTCGGAGGAGCATCGAACAGAGGACGGCCCCCAGGGTCCCTGCGACATTTCCTGAGGCTCCTGCGCCATACTCCCAAGAAAGTGGGGCGAAGGTGCTGACGCCCCAGAAGACGCGCCCCCTCCTCCCCCTCCCCGCAGCGCAGTGACTCAGCCTCGCTGTCCCCGGCCGGCTGAGCGGGGCCGCC